GAAATGTAAACTCAAACACAATGACATGAAAACTGGACTTTCAAAATAAACAGAAAAACATGACAAGACAGGCATGACAGCATCAACCAGAAACATGACACAATATATCATGAACTCAAAACGCTGGGTCACAGATCCAGCCCATGACACTTATATCGTCAGACTTTGGATGTCTACAAGGCCGTGAGTCACTGCTTTCAAAAAGTTCTGTTTTTATGGAAATATCTATACTGGTTTTTCCCAAACTTGCCCATTCTGGAAAGCGTTGAGTTTCAACCCCAAATAATGAAACTAACACTGAAACTAATAAAAACTCAACTAAAAGTAGACAAAAAGAAAAAGAAAAACTAGGTCTAAACCAGCCAACTCCCTCAGGACACTTAAACTCAATCATGGTGAGACAGTAACTGCCATTACTGTAATTCCTCACACTCAGTAGATGAAATACAGAAAGTATAAACAGTTGCTGATGTCTGTCATTATGGTTTTATTCTATAGTCTTCTTACAGTCATCTGTTCTCTTCCTGTTCTAGTAACTATGAAACTGGTTGCTGTTCTGTCTGCTGTGGCTTTGTGACTTCAGTTGATTTAGAATGATTCATTCAGAATGTGGGACATGGTCTCAGTATGTGGGACATATTGTCCCTGACAGCAGCAGTATTGAAACACCTACAGTTGTTCAGCTCAAAGAAACTCAAAAGCCTGGGACGCTCACCCACAATACTAGGTCTTCAATACCCAACCCAAGAGCATCTCTGGGACTGCCAGAACAAGCCCTGATTGTAGAGTCCACAGAGGATTTATTGCCAAAGTCCAAATTCCAGACAGCACAGGAGCCCCTGGAGGTCCCTCCTCCATGCCCCAACAAGTCAGAACTGTTTTGACAAAAGGCATGACTAATCTTTTATTACTTAGAGTCAGTAATAATTTTTATGAAATAAGAAAATCCCATTTGAAATCATTTTTATACACCTCATGCTGTTTGAGGCATCTCCTGATATGATTGGAGGAAGTGAGCAATCTTTCAAGTTTGGAAGGAGGGGTTCTGAAAATCCTATTTTAAATGAAATCCACAAGGCCAGCACTCTGACTGCATGAAAGTAAATCATAAAAGCAATGCTGAACGTATTTTGAAACTATGCAAATGAAATATTTCAGGTCTTAACTAGAGCATAATCCAGTTCATGATTTCTGTCTTCAAATCTCCCATCAAATTCTCTTCAGGCCAGCCAAAAGTTATATGCTTAGGAATTTTTAACTGCTTTTAGAATCAATGGTCTGTAAGAGCTACCATAGCTTAATGCCAACCCATGATTATACTAAAATAGCAAAAATAATATTAGCCAAAATAAGTTATGATTAAAGATTTTTTAAGTTTATTTATTTTTATAGAATAGATCTGTATTAGATTATTAACTACTGGTGTCATGTAGTATAATGTGTTGTGTAATGGACAAGTATGCCATTGTGTCACACTTCAAAATGCAGAATCATGTTAATCAAGGAAATGGAATGAACTAAATGTTCTTTATCTGAATCTTTAACCTCAAACGCCATCGCTCAGCATGCTCAAGCTAGATGCTACAGGCAGTACAGTGACCCTTTAGTTCTGAAGTTCTCATTTGTATTTGTGTGGGTCATAGCATGAGTGGTGGCCTCAGCAGATTTTTTTGCATGTGGCATCAGATTTGCATTCTTGCTTTGGTCACTGCCCTGCTTTAAATGAAATGTGCTCATACTGCAAGTCATGCCCTTTGTGAAAGCAAAAGAAGTTCATTAGAAAAAAATGCTCACACGTTATCCCTCACATGAGAAATCAGGCATGTATTTGTGTGTTTGTGAAAGAGTGTTGTGAACCAAAAGAACAAACAAGCTACTAGGTATTCACACAGTATGTGGTTTGTGCTTAATACTCAGTGGAAACTAGATGTCAGCTCTGACATAGAAGTGCATAAGCTTATTTTAGTCTGAAACCACAAACGGGCAACTCTATGAAGTTTACTTATTCTGAATCTTTTACTTTTAACTTTTTTGGTATTAATGTCTAGTATTACTGCTTTAACACTTTCAATTGTATTCAAATGTATGAAACAATCCATTGGTTCAAATCTGAAAGTCTAAATGTGCTGTACCGCTACAAGAAAAAACAGACCATTTTAAAATAACCACGTGTGCCAGAATAACCTTTGTGCTTTAATAAGTTTAAATTGTTTCTAAAGAACCTACTAAAATATGTATAACCAGTGGTTTCCTGTAAGAATGACCATATAGTTTATGAGATTACATGTTTTGAGAGATAAGCAACCTTTCACCCAAGTCCCTCTGTGAGTCACTGTTTTGTTTAAAGTCTCTTCCTGTTTGGGGCTTCTTTTTTCATAAACTGCGTCATCGTTCTATGTACCAAACTGTCTCTTTTGTTTTTATTGTTGTTGCTGTTGTCTTAATAACGATTTAAACATATTAGGCCCAACCAAAAGTTAATAAAAGGCAGTTCAACAGCTGCATAAAGAGATAGTGTCTATCACAAATCGTCTCTCAATGAACAGCTCCACAGCTGTAAGTTGGACTCTATCGCCACCACGTGGCAAAAGTAACAAATTACAAATTAATTTTTTCTCCATGTTGAATCTCAAGAAAAAGTGTCTAACAAAATTGTGGTGCACCTGTTTTGTTAGTCTTTCTTGTTTCTGGAATACTAAATCAATTGTATGCGACTTATTATTTAGTCTCAAGGACTGAAGATGTTATCTTCACTAGATGGACCAGTTTCATACCTGTGAATCTGCCAAACTTAAAAAGTGGACCTATTGTGTGTTCTTATTTTATGTCATGTATACTATTGCAGTGGCGGATGTTCACTGTAAACACAGCAAAAGTTTTAAATAATCAAGTCAGCATATGCGCTATAATCAGAAGAAAGTTGGCCACATGGGAGAACACATGGGCAAAATGCAGCCTGAGGTCCTCAGTCAGGCCCTCTGTGCCCTAAAAGGAAAACCAAACCAATACATCCCACAAAAAACAACAAAAGTCAGCAGTTTCTCAAGGAATCTTCTTGCATTTTAAAAAACAAACCCAGGTCTACTGGTTATGTCTAACACAATTCTGAGTTCAAGTTTCAATCTACT